GACCTCACCTCCCTGAGGGCAGGGAGGTGTCTGCTGGCTCATCTGTTCCAAAGCAGCCCAGCCTGTTTGCTTTTGAATGATAAGGCAATAGAAGAAACAAAGAGGGGTGTTTGCTCTGAATGCAAATCTCTGCTGGGCACGTGCATTTTCCACAAGGACAAACTCAGTAGTGATATGCACCATGTGAATGCAAAACAAACACTTTCTAGGAGGGATCAGGGAATGATTTTAAAACTTCTGCAGAGAACTGGGGCACCAGCTCTCTTGGCCTTGGGGCTTCTCAGAGAAGCCCTTCTGCCTCTTTTTCCCTCCACTGATAACAAGAGGGGAACAGGCTCCTCCTAAGTACTCTCTAAGAGCAACTGAGAGTCCCTGTTCTGCTGGAGAACTATCTCATGGGCACAGAGTATTTTTGCAGCAGACATGCCAGCATGCTCCATCTCACTGCAGAGGTGCAATGTAACCAACAACAGAGGAGCTCACCTGTAAAAAATTGTAGCTAGGGCTTTAGCCACTGACAAGGCATCTTTCTTCTGCAGAGGAGCAGCCTCAACCCACTTAGAGAAGTAGTCAGTCACAAGGAGGATGTGTGTGTTGCTCTGGCTTGTTTCAGGAAAAGGTCCTGCATAAACAAGTATCAAGACAAATCAATGTGATGCTGTAATGTCACCCAAATGGGGAAAGTTAAAAACCCTGCCCAGCAAAACAACCACTGCAAAAACGACCACGACTCTTCTGCAATGTCATCTGGCCAGCACACTCCTGTGACCTTTGTCAGCAAAAACACACCCAGCACAGTCTCAATGCTGGGAAGCAATGCTTGCCCACAACTCCCATTGTGCATGGAGAGGGAGCCGAGCCAGCCTCAGGGATCAGGTTGCATCCTGCCAGGCTGCTGTGGCCTCCTTGGCACCTCCTCGCAGCAGAGGTAGCCAGCTCTGGCTCACGTGTGGCCCTGGGAGCCCTGGAGAGCCTGTCGACTGCAAACACTCACCGTGAATGTCTAATCCCAGCACTTCCCAAGGTGATTCCACTTTGACAGGCCTCACTTTCCGCGACACGTTCTTGTTGTGCTCTGCGTTCTGGCACGTCTCACACATCTTGATCTGGGAAGGGGAAACACAGATCAAAGGGCTTGAAAATCTGCTGGCAGGTTCAGACTGGGCAGGTCACGAAGGGATGAGGGACAGCACGTCTGAGCAGTGTCCTGCTACCCAACAAAACCAGCAGGATGCAAGGACAAGAGCACAGAACACAACAGCTCGATGCAGCTCACCTTCCAGAAAACTTACCTGACAGCCTCTCTGACACAATAACCAATTTTCTCACCATGGCCTATAGCTAAAACATTCCTCACCTTGTTTTTAGGCAAATCTTTATTTTTAACTTCTACTGCTAGACATATCACCAGCCCCAGGGTGCTGGAGGAGCACAGGTTGCAATGCAACCACACTTCTTCAAACCACACTGTTGCAGAGCCCTGCTGCAGGGAACTGTGGGCAATAAAGCAGGTGAGGAGAGCCAGTGGGAACACTAAACTCCTCCCATTGCTGTAGTTTAGGGAACTGGGCAGCTCTGGCAGGAATCCAGCCTGCTCAAAGCTAGGCCCAGGAACACTGCTCTGAAACAATCCCACCTTCCCACGCTGGCCAAAAGGAGGGGGCCTACCTGAGGAGGTTTCCTGACGCTCTGGGGAAAGACATCCAATCTATCCAGCTGTCCCAGGAGGCTCCAACAGTTTCACCTGCAGAGTTACTTAGTGCGTGGCTTCAAAGCAACAGGCACTGGAAACAGCATCATCCCTGCACCAGGGCTCTTCTAGCTGCTCCCCTGGGGCTGCTGCCTGCACGGCCTGGGAAACACTCGTGTCATTGACACGGGCAGTGCTCTCAACTTACCCAGTCCACAACATCCTTCACGATCCCCAGCCAGTAGTACCGGCTCTGGATCCGGTGCACGGTCTTTTTCTGGCCCAGGTGGTTCCCGATTTCGGTGAAGTGACTCTCCAGGAAGACCTGGCGCCTCCGCTCGGGATCCACAATCACCTCCCGCTTCTCCTCCTTCTTGGGGCCCACGTAGTAGAGGCAGCCACCTGCAGAGCAGAGGTTTAGCTAAAGGGAAACACTCACAGCCACCTCAGCTGCTCAGACACAGCAAAAGGCTCATTTTCTGTGCTGGGAAGAACAGGAGAAACCCAGCAAAGCGGGAATGTTGCCTCAGGAGCTTCAGCAACGCCTCTGGAGAAGGTTATGAGCTGGAGTCACCCCCAGATAAACCCTGGGATCTGAGCAGAACCCTCCTCCCAGCTGCCCTGGTCCCCAGAGGCAACCCCGGCAGTGACACCAAGGCACGGAGAGGGCACAGGGGCCGCCCTGCGCAGAGGGCAAAGCCGCGGGGTCCCTGCGGGGGCTCCAGCCCTCGGATCATCTTCATGTCCCCGGGTGCGGAGGGTCCCGGGGCTCCCGGCCCTCCCCGCTGCCGGGGCTGCCCCCGGGGCCCC